AGAAAGAACAAATCCTCACATAAAACAAAGTATGTAAAAAACCCCTAGTGTTTCAGCAAAACAATTCCTATTTTCAGCAACCTTTCACTAACCTATAAATGTAATTTAATCATTGTATAAGCTAAAATTATGTACATTTGGTTTTTGTAACGCTTTTGTAAAAACACTTCATCACTAATTGTTTAACCAGAAAAACGACAGAGAAGTCAATTAACCGAAAAGAAAATACATCTTAGGGAGGAATGTATCTTTGTTGCAATCAGACAGTCACACGTTAGTCAATGTAATCTGGAGTACTTTGCTGGTTTCACTGAAAGAATGACTGTATATAAGAATATTAAGGGACAATTATAACAAATAAATGTTAGAACAACACTAGTTTGTAAACATTTCTTTCTTGCTCATGGCCAGTAAATTCATAAGCTCAGTTCCAGCTACTGAGGCTTAAAAGCTAAGCGTCTAAAATTTAATAATTTACCTCATCAGTCTTTTTTTACCCATTTCTGTAACTACTAGACAGTTTTTTGTGGTAAAAGTCAGCACTGAGATGGTTTGAAAAAGGCAGTACATCTGTGCTTTCAGTTTAGTAGATGCAGCAGCCCATTGTAAACATTAAGAAACAAATATAGATGAAACATTGCCTCCTCCACCCCAATTCATTTATCAACAAAATGGTGAAACTAATTAATTATTCAGTAACTTAGCATTCAACAAGACTGAACATTTAGAAATTCTAGCATTTTTCAGAACTTGCTGGAAACTCCAGCTCCCTGACAACATCCTGCATTTTTAGAATCTGCCCTGCATGATTTCTGGTTTTAATGGACTTCAACAGGAGCAGGCAGGAGCAACACTACTGTCCACATTGCTCCGCCACCATACGACCTCCACTCTATTCCACTTCTTGTAGCCAAGTCAAAACTTCAATTAGGAAGAGAATGTAAAATGTATCAGCTAAAGAAAGTTTCTTGTTAATGTGCTTTTAAAACCAAGACAACCTATTCATTCCTGTTACACAGTCCAAAACCAGAGGTACAAGTTTGTAACATAAGCTGTTGGGCACCGCCTAAGAAGATGCCCTTTCTTTTATCTCTAAAATAATATTCAAGAGATAAAACAACTCTTAGATACCCACTAGGAGGTAAGGAAGTTTTAAAGTAAGAGGACCTAATTTCGGTTTCTCAAGGAGGCAGATGCTCAGTAATATTTTATATTTTGATGTGCACATGCCTCCTTGCAAAGACCTCTGACATATGAATTCAGGTTACAATTAGATTGTGACAAGATACAACATACAGTTGATTTACATAAATTAAAACCTTAAATATTAGAAGAGCTTAATAGGATCATTCATTAAAATATTACATCATTAGGGAACACGCCTCAACATCTGTGCTGACAGATTTTATGCAACTTCAGCAAAGGCTTGAAAATTGAAACAGGGAGAAGTGTCCAGTTTGACTGTTACTTCTTTCAGTATAACAAATGTCACATAGAGTAAGAAACACAATCAGCTTTGTTCTCAAAATAATGGCAAAGCAATATTTAAATAAATAATAATTTTTAAAATCCCAACCACACAACAAAAAAATCCACAAAACAAACCTCACTAAACACAACCCTGCCATGCTGCAGTCTTTATCCTAGACCTCAAGCGCAGCCTTTCTGACCTGTCTCTTCCAAGGCACTTAGGCTCTGTGTTTCTAAGACTTTTGAAGATCATCTGTGACATAAACACGACTTTACAGTACTCTCATTACCCCTGGCTTAGGTTTGACTTTAATTAGCATTTCTTTTGGCTAATCTACTGTGCCTTTTGTTTTATTGACTTCATAACAAGATGCCTGGATTGACCTCAGATCTTGCTGTGACATGAGGGTTTGGTTGAAGTATTTGGTTAAAGAAAACTAATTTCAAAGACATTAGACATTATTAGCAATGCTTCCAAAAGCTGCAATTCAAAGAAGTTGCCAAGCACTTGGGAATTCCTAGTTGATG